AGCAGTCCTCCTGTGATGTAATGGGCCGAAAGATTTTCAAATCATCTGCAAAGAGTAAGAAATTGCTAGAGAGATTATTTCCTATGTCGTTAATGAAGAGTGAGAATAAAAGAGGTGCTAAATTGCTTCCTTGAGGGGCACCACTGTTTGCAATAAATTGGAACGACTTGTGACCCCTATAATCTACGAATAGGATATGTTCAGTTAAGTATGAGCGGAAAAGGTTTAAGAGTTGGGAGTCGAATCCATATTGGTGAAGTTTATTGATAGGAATGTTATGATCCAACTTGTCAAACGCCTTCGAGAAATCTGTGTAGACAGTATCTACTTGTTATTAAGTGCATTACTTACTGATTGTGTGAAGCACATTAGGTTAGTTATTGTTGATCTTTTGCTAAAGAAACCGTGTTGATTGTCTGAAATTTAATTCTTAACATCAGGAAAGATTCTGTTGTATAAGCACATCTCAAAAGCCTTTGCAAAGTTTAATAACCAGGTTGGTAGTTTTGGATATTGTTTATGGCACCAGCTTTGAAAATTGGGCAAATTTTTGATATTTTCCATTTGTTAGGAAAGCATTCTGTACTCAGTGCTAGATTGAAGATTGTCTGTAATGGTATGGCTAGGAGGTGTGCACAATCTTTGACGAAAAAGCTAGGTATGTTATCATCCCCGCTTGTGTTTTAGTTTGTTGAGAGAATTGCAGATTTCAATTAGTGAAACATGTTTTAAAGGTAACATTCGTGTGTTCATATGATGTAGCACAATCTAATGCTCATTTGTCAAAACATTGAACCGTTATTTTTAACACCTCGACATGTGTTTCAATTACCAAGTGATCATCTTCAAGAGGAAGATAAGCGAAACATCATATGTACCATATTGTCCTGTGAATACATAAATAAAAAAATTACCTGATCACTTTTAGCTGGAGTATTTCTAGAAACTCCGCTCGATCCGGGTTTCGATTGTTGGCTAGCAGGTGCTGCTTTGTTCACCCCGCTTGGCCCCGCTCTATTCACTCCACTAGGTCCAGGTTTAGGTGCCGCACTGGGCCCAGCTCTAGTCACGCCGCTGGGTCCCGGCTTCGAAGTGTTTGGAGAAGCGGGATACTTTTTGGTGAGCGTCACTGAGGGCGGTAGATTCGCCGCGACGGCCGGCAGAGACGACGATGAAGTCAGAGGCGGAGGTACGGGGGATGTCGCCGGGCTGACGAATATGACATCGTCGTCTTGTGCTGCTGTTGTTGCCGCAGCAGGTTGCTGCGGCGATTGAGGTTTCGGAGGAAAGCGGATGTTTTTGATTCCTGCATACGAATAAAAATCAGAAATATATTTATTGAGACAGGTTGGTTCTCAAGCATCAAATGTATTATATCCTAATATTAGTGAGCATGAAATTCAAATCTAACACTATAGTAGTAATGAACAGTGATGACATCAGCTCTTACAAAGATGACATTTATGAGATCGAGAGAAGGCTTATTCATCAAAATTTCAGGCCTTATGATGAATTAGGTGTAACTGCAATACATATTAATAATAATGCCGCTCAAATACTTATTGAATTTCTAGCACGAAATATTTAAATCAAATTCCATTAAAAACTGCTTTGGTGTTGAGCTAGACTTCATATTCACGAATGATAGCGACTTAATCATGGTTTAAATTTCTGACGACTGTTTGATGCCTCGTGATTCGTTTCACCAAGACATTGTTTCATCAATTACCTCTATCATAGATTTCAACAATCCGGAATATGACAACTTTTAGTTAGACTTCAAGACAGGAGATCACATTGGACTTAACTTCTACTTGTCCACTGTAGATTGGTACTATCGACTATACTAAAATTCCATAACAGTAGGCACTAAATTCTCGGAAATATTATTGCATTAAAATGAAAACACTGTTGTCAGGTTGTGATTCTATATATTATATCATCTTTATTTTAATTATACACACGCAGCTAAATCGCCATATAATAACGGACGTGTTTTATTCATTAAAGAAACTTCCTGCTAATGAAATGTCATCAATGTTTATAGAGTTGCACAATAACTAAACTTCAACAGTCTGGCAGTGCTGCGATAGCAGTCAGCCCTTATGAATTAATGTTTTATCTGTTATAGAATAAAAGTATTACAAACTGATGATCTGGTAAAAAACATTATTAAATAAATATTGTGGTAGTAGCTATATAACTGATCTCAAATACCCAAATTGTGACTGAATGGTAAAAGATGATCCTTCAAAAAAATGAATAAATTATTTGAAGGTCAATGACAGTACAAAACTACTCACCGGCTATGAACTCTGTCCTCAGATTCTTTCTGATCTGAATGAGCGAGTTGATCGACGTGCTGAGGATTTCCTGCAACTTGTTGTGGACAACGGCCAGTCCTTCGACACTCGTGGCACTTGCCTGTGCCCTGTTCAGCTGTGTCAGCGTGTACGAGAGGTTGGAGTTGACCCTGGCGGCGGCGCGGACCGTCTTCTCGAACCACTCGTGCTTCATCTGAGGCACGTTCGGGCGGAGAGGTCGGAGCGCCGGAGGTCTGATGGAAGCATTGCCAGGAACGCGGACGCCGCTTGGCATGATCTTCACATAACCAGGGCTGGAAGTGGGCCGAACTGAAATATTATAAAACATTGATGATAATAATAAAAGACTTTCTTCTCATACGAGGTTTGGCTAAAAAAATTACAGAATTTTGAATGTAACTCATTTTATTTATTTCCCTTTAAAACTTTCACCTTATCTGTAATGAATATTATAAGAGAGGTATTCAAGGGTTTATAAATGGGTGATCACACTGTTATTATATGGCTTTTGAGTGTGTCTCTCACTACATTATTTTCGACAAGTTATCTTACTACAGCTTCACAGGAACTGCAATGTCACTCATCGAGTCATATCTGAAGCAACACTACCAACGAACCTATTATGGAGATAGTACCTCTGAATATACGCAGATCACCCACGGAGTACCCCAAGGTTATACTCTCAAAACCATTACTATTTTCATCCTATATAAATGATATTTTTGAATTTTCATATCCTGATAAATGTGTCTTGTTTGCCAACGACACAACTTCAATGAGCTCCGGCCATTACAATAACAAAAGCCCTTAGTTTTGAAAATGTCAAGGTCTACTTTGAATCAAACACAATCATGACACTACCCTCTTTATATATTTTTCAATATTTATTATGGATCTATGCAACACATATTTGAAATGCATGCGACATTTACTATTACAACACAAAAAAGGCAGCTCTAGTAGCTCCTGAATTTGTACGATTAATTAAGAGCCAAATATTCTGTAAATTATAACACACTTAGGTTTCATAATAAGCCCCCTTTACATCTGTGATACATTCAAAATTATACTAATACATACATACATATATATATA